TTAGAAGTTATAACATCAACATTCGTCATGGCAATAATACATTTTTTTACATATCTAGAAGAGAAATTTGATTTAATTTGTAAACATATCGAAATGGTTTGTATTAGTTAGGTTTTAGAAGTATAATTCTTGGTTTTAAAGGAAAACACATTCCTTATCCAATATTAGTTTATAGTCTCTAGACAAAGATATTTGTAACTTTAAAAATCTATCAGACGTACGTAAAAACAGTTGATCTTTCCAAATATGTCATTAAAAATTCTATAACATTTTATTAAAATGCGAAAAAGTCACAATCACTTCGAATATTATTGAAATCACTTATTACGTTGAAATGTTTTCCTTCCTATTATTCTAAAAGACAAACCAGCGAGAATGTGAAATTTTCACAGTATACATCCAGCTTTTAATGCTTTATTAGCTGACGTTAGAAAAAGAGATCAAACAAAGCGTACGCCAGATCGAGAATTGAGTTCTGATTTTCCTGATACAGTCCTTATCTTTATCTCTTTCATACTTATTCTAGGGTACAATACCACCAAATGAATCGTTATCATCACCATTGTCATTAGATATACGTATTGAGATAGAATCACATTATCATTTACCACCAAATCCAAGTCGTGCCGAAGAATTACGTAAAATTGTTAATGACTATGGTTTTCATCATATTTCAACACGTATATGGCCTTCGTTGAAATGTGCAATATGTATAATAAGTCATACTGTTAAACAATTTGAATTAAAATTATTATCAACCTATTGGAATCCCCAAACACCAATTTATCCATATGCTTATGGTATGAGTGAACATCATCATCTTGCAATACCATTAAATACAAATTCATATCAATTAGTACCATTACCACGTTCAGTTTATTATGAATTTATCGAAGCAAAAGACGATGATGAGGAAGACGACGATGATGATCATCAACCAGAATCATTTGAGTTAGATCAAATTGAAGGCAATAGTTTCTACTTCTGTCTTGGTAATGTGTGACATAATCTTGTGTATATTTTGTATTTTAGAAGGTAAACGTTATGAAGTTGTATTAACAACATATGATGGTTTATATCGTTATAGAACAGAAGATATTGTTGAAGTAACAGGACATTATTATACACTACCAATATGGGAACTTATTGGAAGGTTTGGTTTGTTTCTGTTTTCTTCATTCTGTTTAGAATGAATCGTTTTCATTGAGATTTAGTGATCCCATCTTTTGAATGATATATAATTCACTACGTTTCTTACGTTCTGTGATCGAGAGTGCTCACATTCTCGCTAGTAACCTTGAGCAAACTGTCTCGATTTTTTTACCAATAAATAGAGCAGACAACTCCCTATTGAAAACAGTATTTCACACCTTCCCATTTCATAGAAAATAATTCTCTCATGTATCTCGAAGATACTGAGTCAATCTTTGCTCTGCGCGACCGACTGGGTGATTAGTGAGTTACGTGGCGATGTACAGCGATGTTTGCTCTATCAGAATTTGATTTCCACAGTTGTGGCGATTTTGAAATATCAGAAAGCAGGATCAGCTATTGTTTCAAAAGTTTTATACAAACGTCTAACTGAAACACACCGTTCGACGCTAAATTTGTCGTGGATGCTATAGGCTTTCTTTGAACACTTGTAATTGCCAAGAAAATCGGCAGAAAAACCTTGCCAATTAGTCCGAAAAACTAATAATTGATGCTGCTCGTTCGGAGTCTGAAGTTGACGAAGGATTTGATAACGAAGTCTAAGAGAGTAAACATCGCCTTTACGTTTGCAGATAAGTCTCTAACCATCATCTTGATGAAACAGAGGATTGAATCAACATCGTCGAGATATATATGTCTGACTTATTCGACGTTCAAAAATTGGTATGATTTTTGTAGAAAACTTATTTCTTACCTATTGCGTATGTGTTACAAACGCCTGTTTGAAGCAGCAGCATTGCATCACAGGCACTGTCTCTGTTTTTATCTTACAAAATCTAACTATAATCGTGGTGAAAAATTTGCTGTTTATCTTAGACGTTGTCAATATTTATCAATAGCAACGGAGCATGTAACTGAAATGGAATTATGTGATGTAATAGATTCAATATTATCTGAATACAAAGATGAATTTACTTCTTCACCACAATATTCTGTTTTTATTGATAATAATTCTTCACATTATGTACTTGCTATTGAAGTTGATTCTGATAAAGAAGATAAATTAAAACAAATTGGTAAAGAAATATGTTCAAAATTTGATCAAAAATTACAAGAATCTAATGAAGAATATAAAAAATGTCGTAGTAAAAAGAAAATATCATCGCCCATTCTACTATGGTTAAAAAATAATACGTTGACAACAGGTGTAAGAGAATATCTTCTAAACAATAAAGGTGGTAGCAAAATACAAAAGTCAAATCAAATCAAATCAACCGTGGTTATTACGAACAGGAGTAAAAATATTATTAAATTTCTAAAAGAGAATAAAGTGTTAAAAATAGAATTATGAACCTGTTTCTTCTTATATATTTATTCTAGCACTAGTCTATTTAAGTCACAGATGTTCGTTTTGAATTTTAACAAATAAAAAGGTGTGTTTTTTTGTGATAATAAAAACTACACAAAATCTTGTAAAAATGTGATAATGGACAAGTAGATCGGCGTAAATTGATGTTACTATATGTAGTCTAGAAACAGTTCTAATTGTTGTCAAAAAATAAGGTTTCTGTATTTAAAGATAGCGGCGCATAACAATTAGACGAACTATGAATACGTCTATCGGCTCCAAAATACAACAGCTGCGAATATTTCTTTTTTGAATACCTTTTGATAGAAGAGAGATAGAGAGTTGTGGCTTTCACCATTATGTGACTAAGTCCATAATGCGTAAGACAAAAAATTTTAGCGATCGGAAAACCATCTGACGACGGTGTATCAGATTGATCTTTCAAACATAAGATTGTTAGAAAACCTTAAAAAAAGATAATTTCCAGGTGTCGGGTAGCGGGATTGATTTTCCGTGCCCTCTTCTACACAACTCACAAGTCTCAAATCTCTAGCTTTTATGGTTCCAGCAATTATAGCGGTTCTCACGAGGTATGAAAGGGAATCTCAAAAGCACTTGACACCCTAGACAATCGGCTACGGTGATTATCATGGTAATGTTTGTTTCATTCTTCAGACTCGAGAAGTTTTAGCTTTCTATTCCTCAGGAAATTCTCTCTGTTGCCTATGATTCCGATCGTTAGAATTTTTTCTGTCTTGTACATTATGGGCGTGGCCACATAATGGTGAAAACAACAACTCTCTATCTCTCTTCTATGAAAAGTTATTTAAAACAAAAATATCCGAGGCTATTGTATTTTCAGTCGAAAGAAGAGAGATAAGTAGGTACACCATCTATTGTTATATGAGTATGAAAATCATTTTTTTTGTATGAAGATGTCCGTTTTCATATAGACCCTAAAGTTGCAATCGCTAGTTTTTGAATACAAAAATTAGGATTACCGTTAAGACCAGTGATTTCAACAACTAACACGTATAACTATAAACTAGCACAAAAATTAAAAACATTTTTCTGTGATTAGCATACGTGTCCAATAACGGTGACGGTGTTCGCTAAACGGTGTTCTTTGCTTACACTTCTTTAAAAAGGTTACTTTTTAATTTCTGCGTAACCATGGAATGTACTCGTCAAAGTCTGTTTTACCACAATATCTGGTATGTAGTTATATTGATCGGGTCGACCGTTGTATGCACTGGTTCCATTATATACAACTTTCAACAGTATTTGACAAATCGTCGTTTACGAATACATTTTATCTACATGTTCTATGAAATGTCGATCATGACTATTTCGGCATCCTGTTGATTCTAGCTCAGTTTCTTGGAGCAAGCCCCATCACCACAAGTATACTGTAATGGTTGTATACACACCCGTTCTTTGCATCGAAATAGTGGGTCAGTCACACGCTCATCCCACATAAAACGAGGACAAGACTGACCGACGTGCTCGGTGTACAGTAAGGAATGAGTTGATACACCGGGGAAAACGATGAGACATGTTCAACAACGTACTCCATCTCTTCATCAACAACATAATAATATAGACAGTCGTATTGCAAATTGTTCGTCAGTCTTGACTGATCTGTATGGTACAAATGAATTACTGCATTCATTGACATCATCGAGCATGTGACTAGCAGTAGTTGTTGTGACATGTTGATCAATCTCAAAAGTAATTCTATCTCGAGAAAATGTGACGGGTTTTCTGCTTGTCACTTGATTCAACATTAATCACATTCAGAGTAATTGCAAATGTGCTCGTGCTCATATTATTGATGATGATGGATCAAATACATGATTTATGTTTCAGTCAAATATCTGAATAGTAGTCAATTCAGAACGACGGAAAATGGCGTATTTAAATGTTCATTCAATAAAAAAGTGCATTCAAAAAATTATTAAGATCTTGGGGAAAAGTAACCCAGTGACTTTATGTAAATATAGCTAAAATAGGAGATATGGGTATTGCTCGGGTGGTGAGTGAAGATTTACTACATACTATAATTGGTCCAAAGAAATATATGTCGCCAGAATTTTATACAGGTAAGTATGATCAAAAATTAGA